TAAAAAGAGGGATGCCTTAATTCCCTACTCTAGACAAGCTGGTGTTTGTGAACTCATTGTTAAAGACTGTGCTAGGCTAGAGCAGCAAAATGTATGCGTTGCCTCCCACCCTCCATGTGGGAGCGAGCAAAGCTGTCAACTCTAACGGTCCCGTTGAAGTCTCTTCTAATTGAAGCGAGACGGAAGGACGGCCACGGAGCGCTCTATTGTACTGCAGCCCCCTCGACGCGTTTTACGGACAATGGTGGGTTGGAAGGCAAGCAAGTGTTTGCCGAAAGCTACACGAGCAACATACATACTACACATCATGTTTTGTTCATTTTTGGTCGTTTAGCATAGTTCCCTAAGGAAAGTTTCCTCTGAAACGACAAGTATAAAACAAGCAAAAATAAATATCAGTGAACCTCCCAAAGCCATTCTTTTTAAACCACTGACAATCGTTTCAAGGAGCTGGCTTTTGAGATGTCCTCCAGAAGTGAGAGGCAGTGACTGGAAGCAACTGCTCTGGAGCCTGTGTCTGATATGCCAGTGCGAGACAATTTTCCAGCCATTGAGTGATATGAATGCTGCAATCTTTATACAAGCCTCTGAGGTATGACTTCTTATTCTTAGCTTCAAGAACTACGTCCAAATGGCTAAAATAGTTCTTAACTACTGCAATTAGAAAAAACAAGACCATTTTCAAAATTGAAACATTTTCCCCTTACATTAGACATCATGTAAGAGGGAGTTTAAAAATATATCCTTGATCTTCATGACAAATGCCTGTGGATGTGACCAAATGACAGTGGTTAATTGCTATATTACAATAACATTCAGTCTCAAATATTTATTTATTTTTTTTTTAATGCAGTAGTTTGTTGGTTTGGAACAAGAGAGTTGCAGTTATTAGAACAGGGTGGACGAAGCGGTTTGAGCCTTAAATACTTCAACCACCAAGATTACTTTGTCGTCTGTGTTGCTTTACTGTTCAAGTCAGCAATGAATTAAAGAAAGGCTAGTTAGACAACCTCCCTATCACCGGAATAAAAACACTACATTCTCAGGACAGTTTCCTAGTTGCGACTCGCGAGGCACGTCCTTAGGGGCAGTGAAATTGTTTTTTTCTTTCTTGTAATGGGAATTTTGCGGGCATTCTTTCGGTCACTGCCTAATCCAATTTGTGCCCAAGGAATTATGCCACTCGACATCAAGGGGGCCAATCTGTGCCATCTCTCTAACTCAACATCATGATCAATTTATGCAAGCCGACAGAGACATGCACTGTGTAAATAAGGTTGTAGACCTGGTCAAACAAGTTCGTGGGAACGCAGAGTCATCATTTTCAACTTTCAAACGGAAGTTTACGAGACCCTGCTCAATGTGCGCGACACTTCTTAACATTTTCCCCAATCGGTCATTGCTTTGCGTTTGGACCTCTTAGTGACTGATCGACTATTTCCAAAGCAGCCTCTAATACACAGTCACATCTGCTTCATTTCCACCCAGCGAAACCCAAATTTCCTAATCATTAAATCTAGCGATAAAGAAACCTTCTAAGATGTATCATAAAATAAATGATATTTGTATATCATAAGCTGGTGAAATATACATATTGCCGTCACAGTCGTTACCACCACCGTCATCATAGTCATTATTATCACCATCATTAGGGGCCTCGGGGCTTTTTATAAAGAAGGCTCTAGTCAAAGAAGGTCCCATTTACAATCAAAACTAAATATTTATAAAATATGAATTATAGCACAACACTTCGATTAGGATAAAGCTTCTCTCCCCCTGCACTTCTGCAGCCGGTAGCTTATTTAGCCTGTATATATAAGTTCTGTAAAATGCCTCCAAAAACCAGCTTGTCTACCAAAACCAATATATCCCCCAAGTTTTATGAACCCACCAAACTCATGACTTTAATGTTATGAGCTGCCAAAACAACCACCTCCCAAATATTATGAAAACCTACACTCGTGCAAGTGACACAGCTCTTTAGCGGCACTGGAATTAGACAGGAGCCCAAGTTTGTGCTTCTTTCGATCTACAGCTGCACGCGAACAACCCTGACTACCATGTATTCAAATATAGACAGGCCCACATCATTTTTTTTTTCTCAAAGCAGATTTTCAAAATGAAAAAAAAAAAAAAATGTATCACCAAGACAAAAAACAAAAAAACTTAAATAGTACTGAGAATAATTACTGCGCCTATCACACTAACCCAGTCGCTCACCCGAGTCAGCTGCTGCACTTAGCACTCCGGTGCAAAGCGGTGAAGCTCAACACGTGCACACTGGCGAGAGGCGGCACGGAGGAATGATAATTAAGTGATCTCACCAGAAGTACAAGACCCTGGTTTTGTCTTATCATAGTAGCCGGCATCCTACAATTTGGCAATGTTTTCCCACAACTTTTACCTCCTCACATTACCGACATTGTCTGGAAATTTAGACGACGTCAGCAATCACTCCGCCAGCGCACCAAGCAACAAGCGCAGTTGTCAACCAATCTCACTACTTTGTTTGACATTAATTTAAAACGCAGCCAATAGGACCAACCAGCATCAAAGTGTGATATCATGGCATTCGTCAACCTTCCTGTGCGTGGTCTTTCATCGACCAAAGGAATCAAATGCAGCGAATAGTCCCGTGGCTTGCGCTTTTCGTATAGTGTTTGAGCCTTCAACTGTATTCGGACCTCAGATAAAACAAACTATACGGTGAGTAGACACGCTCTAAAATATATATATTTGTACCATCTTACTTTCCTCCTACTTCTCTAGATATTGAAATCAACCAATATATTTCTTTTTTTTGCTTTGCCTATTTTGGCACAGGTGTGGCGCAATTCTTGACAAAAATGGTACTTTGGCACAAGATTTTGCATATTTTCGTTCATGGCACAATTTGGCGCAAATGGCGCAACACTTTCATCTCTGTGTTTAATGGCTTTTAGTGAGGATTAATGGCTTTTATTTAAAATTTTTGTTGTTGCATTGGTGTTTTGTATATACTAGTGCATTTGCAATTTTCATGTATTTGTGTTGCTCTGTCGTAGTTTTGCTTGTGTTGAAGTGTAGTCTGGTGCTAGGGGCCTAGTCAGGCGACCTTTGCTGTCGCCTTTCGCCTCAGCTCCAAGGAAATTCTGTATTGTCTAAAATTTGAAAAATAAACAAATAAATAACCAATGCTTAAAATTATATTGTGGCTAGACCTGAAATGCAAGGGCACTAGAAAGCCCAAATGGTTTATACATGGCGTCTTTATTCCTCATTAAAACTGTAAACATACGGTTCCTTTCAAACTAAATGCCAATCAACTTATCATGCACACTATTGGAAAGTGAAAGCAATTCGCAGTCACCAGCTGATTTCTGGTACAATAATATTTCAGTCACATGCGATTGTTAGGACGTCATTGCAAAATGGCCACTCACCCCATTCAGTAGCATATAGCAGCGACTGAAATTTAAGACATTGTTAGACTCATTGCTCGAGTTATCTGACTTGGTTTGCAACGTCTGCACCCACAAGACTGCCGCCGCGAACGGAGTTTTGATGTTTAGCCTACAGCCTACACAATAAAAAAACTGGACTGAAGCTACCGAGGACGGATGTTCCAGTTCTACCATAGCAGCCGCAACCACCGCCACGGCCGCCATTCTTTTTCACGTTTCCTACAAGGCCCGTCGGCTCTCCGTCCACAAGACTAGGAGCAAAGAGAGCTCGGTCGGCCGTGCATTGTCTCCAACCAGTGCCAGATGGCGCCAACTGCATCCCAATGCCACGGACCATCTACAAGAGGACTTCTCCACGGGCACAAGGTTTGCTCCCGCCCAATGGCAGACACGCATACGTGCTCCAGTAACACAGGGAGGCTATGACAATTTGTTCGAAGCAGCGTAGCGTGCATATTTTGTGCTCAATCGAGTGGCTCGAGCGTGTGCAGAACTTTCCATCGAGTTAGTTGCCACTGGGTCACTCGGTGCCACCTTTGCGCAGAAGAGGACTTTTCGGGATATGTAGGCAGAGCAAAGGCAAAGAACCGGCATACGGGTCTTCAGTCGAGGGGTTTGGGCCGAGGCACCTCACAATGTACCGGAGCCCACATACCCTCGTCAAAAGATGCCCAGGCACTTTGAAACCTTAGTTTTGACAGGACGCGACGGCTGCCCCGCTCGAGGGAAACCGCCCAGCAGCATCCGAGCAGTACGCAACGTCCGGCTGGGGTGCCAGGAACGTGTCTCCGACTGGTGTGTGCGCCACATTCTCGTCTGCGGTATCCGAACTTCTACCCAACAGCGTCATAAAGAATGCGACACTGTTTGCCACTCACTGCTATCCTAACGTTTTCACAACAGTGGAGACGAAGATGTCCATTCATCTGTAGGCGGCTCTTCGGCTTTCCACGTAAACTTCGGCAGTCGCTTCTCGGAATACCGCAGCAACGATGGCGACGCTCGCTCGTTCTTTGTAGCCAGAACTTCCACGACCGTCAGCAACCGCAATGTCATTTGCTGCCACTTTGGGACCACTTTCAATGCATCATAGGATGCTAAACACACCGGTCAAAGATTCGTTCCAGGCACCTTTGATTGGCTGGATGGATGATAATGGCTGTACCCTTTGTAACGGGCACTAGCCTGAGCCTCCTAGCCTAAAAACAATAACAAACAAATAACAACTAAGGCTACTGGAATTTCGGTTGCCTTTCTGAGGCCCCCCAAGCTGTCACCGTCGACGCGTTTTGTCGGGACTCTGCACGGCACACGAACACCCTCGGCGTCGAGGTTCTGTCTGGATCGCCGGGGTCGAGGGCTCGAACCCCGCGTGCCACCTTCTCCGGGGAGCCCTCGGGGCCCCGTCGGGCACCCAAGACCCCTCTCGAGGTCAGACGAGGTTAGACGAGTCAGTGACGTCACACCAAGGGTCAGGGCAGCGCGGCCCACTTTCATATCCGCGCGACCTTGTCGGCGCGGTCAGCGGACATGCAGCGCTCCGTGCGGTGGGCTCACCGTCTCCTTGTCGGCGGCCTGGAACACATGGCACTGGGGAGGCACCTCGGGCGACGGGTCGCGCTGCAGGTAGGCGAAGCAGCAGCGGTCTGCGCTCGTCTGCGAGAACCTCGAGATGGTGTGCAGCGGGTGCTCGAAGAGCGGCGCCTCGGCCTGCTCCCGGTGCGCGCGCAGAGACGAGTGCCGCACCTCGAGCAGCACCGGGATGGGCGCCTTGAGGCCACTCCGGCGCAGGTCGGCCACGATCCACGGCAGCATGGGCTGCGTGTAGCGCCGGTCCAGCGCCTGGCAGCCCAGGTACTGGACGCGGAAGTGCCGCTGCAGAGCCCGCCCGGGCTCAGAGTCCATGATGTTGAGCTTCTTGTAAAAGCGCTTGCGGAGCACCGTCGAGTCCAACATGAACGCAGTGGGGACGGCCAACTGCGAAGAACCAAAGCTAACCCTTCTCCTCAGCGGGCGAACCGACTCCGGCGCAATGTCACCATGACCGCTCCTCTCCTCGGTGCGGCGCAGGCCGCGGCCACGCTCGGCTACGCTAACTGGGACATGCCACTCGCTCCTATCAACCGATCGCGCACGAATTGAAAAGCGCGAAAACTGCGCGGTGACCAACACAGCTGTTTTACGATAGCGAAATTACTTCATCAAACGCCGCCATTGCCAGCGTTGCCAGTCCGGTCGGTCGTAGGTACTGTTCCTTTCACAAAGGTTAGTTTCCTTTACCTGTTCTTATTTCTCATTCATATGCATACTCACTCTTATCGGAATAAAAAGGTAATGTTATGACAGTTCTTCGACCCCACTTAATATATCTATGACAATGGGCCATATTGGGCAATTTTAGGATCTCTGCAATACGCAAAATAGCAGCGCTCCTAGCGGCTCAGGTGCACTCTGGGAGCTGGAGGCTGTCAACGGGTAGTTTAGGTTTCGGTTTCGCCGAGGTTGTGCGTCTGTCGTCTGCTATCGACTCCGCACCGCCGTTGCTCACGTCGTCGTTATTCAAGGAGGTTAGAAGTACTAGGAGGGGGCACGTTGCAATGGTTGCAATATTGGTGAAGCCTAGTCATAAAAAGTTTAAACGATTTTGTGCCCAGCGTGACCGCAGATCTGTCTGCCGATTGGTGCGCGTGACATGTCACGTGTGAGATGGGTGGTTGATTGTAGAAGGACTTTTTGCAGGCTTGCGCGCGCTCCGTCCGGTAGGTTTTATCACATCGAAGGCTAGAGTGTGGTGTATTCTAGGACCCGATAGCAAGACAATGGCTAGCTACGGTCACGTGATGTGGTCACGTTGGCATGGCAAGTGAGGAGTGTAAGGAGGAAAATGAGAAAGAGGCGAGGCGTCAAGGGAGCACGGCAGATACTTTGTCAAATTCGAAAGTGCGCGCAGCTTCGCTTCTCCGCGAGCGACTAGGGTTTGTATCCCTGTTTTTTTTTCCCGCATTTATCAAGTTTCCGGTACGAAAAAATACGGCATGTAAATCTTGACACTTCATAGCTCGATATACTCTGACCGGTGGTTGGGGCAGCGAAGAGTAGATATAATTCATGAATGCTCATTTCAACTGTAAATAAAATTTCGCTCTCTCCCTCAAACATTATCAAACTCCACAGACTTTTCTTTTCTCATTCCGATGGAAGCAAGCTTCAAGAACTCACGCGTTCTAGAAACGTGTTATGAAATGAGCACACAGCAGCATTTAGGATCTACGAGATTGTAGGAAAATAAAATCCCGTGACGCGATTTTTTTTTTTTTTTTGCACAGCTTTTTAATTTTTTTTTTCCGTGCAAGCCGCGACCAGCGCAATACTGGTTCCTATGTCAAGATTCATGGATGCAGCGCTTGTCAAGATTCATGGATGCAGCGTTTATATTCCTAAGACTGAGTGGAGAAGAAAAATATGTAAGCGAGGTGTGTGTCAGTTGACGGCACTTAAAAAACAAATGGCATTGATAGCACATTCATTGTCAACAGCGCGTGGCCGAACCGTTTTGATATGAGCCGGTAACCGTTATTTTTATTCCGGTTCAGTTCCGGTTCGGGTTCATCGCGATAACAATATAACGGTTCGGGTTCAAGTTCAGTTCCGGAAAAAATACCGGTTCGGTTCCGGTTCGACACCCTGATATATATATATATATATATATATATATATATATATATATGAGAAGAAAAGAAAACCCTTGGTGAAAACAGCAACAACGGACGGTTTATTCTTCGACGTTTCGGCCGGACTCCGGCCTTCGTCGGGAAGACTCCGGCCGAAACGTCGAAGAATAATAAACCGTCCGTTGTTGCTGTTTTCACCAAGGGTTTTCTTTTCTTCTCAGTTATACCCACGCCTTTGGCCCCCCACCACCATGCCCGTTATATCTATATCTATATATATATATTGTGACGTAGAAGACGGCGACGTTGGGGCAGTGGCGTGCCTGACCATCACGCGCCAAGCTGCGCGCGCACGGCCCGGCTTCCATAAAATCCTTTCTATCTCATTGAGTGGACGTGTCATTATCATTCGCTTCCGGCCGCACATCTTCGTAACAATATATATATATATATATAGAGAGAGAGAGAGAGAGAGAAAGCAAAGCTTATTTAAATTACAATATATATATACAGGGTGCGGCCGTAAAAACTTTCACATTTGGCACGCCTAGCAAAAATCGAATATCAAAGATGCATACCTGAAATTGGGCACACGAACGTCGTTTATTCCAAAGTTTTCTGTCTATTTTTTTCAGACGTCAACTCTGGAGTATCGAATTATTAGAAAGATAACAAAAATGGCAGACGTGCATTTCCTATGGCCTATACCCGCCCGTTCGCCGTCTGCTATCTGGTTCGCGACGCCGCTTCCAGGTGGCGCACTGAACGCAAAGACGCGGGAAACCCGCTCGAAAGGCTGGTGTCGGGAGATATAATCGCGATAAAAAGTGATTTGAACAAAATATATAAACGATTGTTGAAACTGCGTGTTTCAAGTCAAGTTCTGACGGATTGTCCTGCAAGCAAGAAGACACCATTACGCGAGGAGATCATTTATTTACAGCTGCTCGTCTTGTTGACAATTGCGGGTCGCTCTCGAAGACAGCAAGCACCGCTTCAATGAGCTCCTCATTTTTCAGTAGTCTCTCACGTTCACTGACTGGATTCTTCTTTTTAAAGTCTTCTCCACTCACAAAACGATCCGCCCAACTCAAAACAGTCGGGCGTGAAGGCGGGCGTTTATGAAATACAGTGCGAAAGTTTCGTTCTGCTGTGGCCACCGAGTTCCGCTCCACGTACCACTTGACTGCCTGGGCACACTCACTTGCCGAGTATTGCGGCATCGCAGGGCGGCGCGAAAAATATTTTGATATTAACTGCAGAAGATAGTGCAACAAAAGCAATAAACACGAACAATCAAGATGCCTCAGCAGCGGCACTCTTGATTCCAAAGTTGAGCTTTCACCGGGAACGGACCCGTCGACAGATAAGCAGACGACAAAGGAAGACACACGTTCGTCTGCTTTAGAACATATTTTTATTAAACGAGGGCGTCTGCCAGTTTCTAAATTTCAAGTAAAAGGGCATAACCGTTCACATTTTTCGGTAAAATCACTTTTTATCGCGATTATCTCTCCCGACACCAGCCTTTCGTGCGGCGTTTGCCGCGTTTTTGCGTTCAGTACGCCATCTGGGAGCGGCGTCGCGAATTAGATAGTAGACGGCGAACGGTATGCACGTCTGCCATTTTTGTTATCTTTCTAATAATTCGCTACTCCAGAGTTGACGTTTGAAAAAAATGGGCAAAAAACTTTAAAATAAACGACGTTCGTGTGCCCAATTTCAGGTATGTACTTTTAAAATTCGTTTTTTGCTAGGCGTGCCAAATGTGAAAGTTTTTACGGCCGCACCCTGTATATATATATATGGGCGGTTTCATTTGGATTCAGGCAACGAGGTGCAGTGGCATTTTTTATTATTTTGCTTCAAATTTTAAAATTTCGTGGCGCATGTTCCAAGAAGAACAATCCTTTTTATTTTAATGCCGTGACATGTATAGTTTCTCAGAAAAAAAAAAATATCTCAAAGAAGCGGGAAAGATCGATGAGGTTTTGACGATTGTCGTGTGGTGGCGTTTTTGAATCACACTCAATCTCAAAGTATTCAGAAGAGAGTGTCTATATATTTTTATTGTGATATATACGCAAGTAGGTAAAACTACATTATAACAACTATTCATGATCCGTCGCTCCAATCTTTGTAAAAATCCCCAAGCATACCTCCGCGAACAACTGTGACCCGAACTGCGAATTTCGTTTTTGAGTCGACTATGTTAAGTATCGCTTTTTAAAATAATACCACGGGTAGAACCTTTCATTGCCTTCCACATTGTGCAAAGTTTGTGTCTTTATCATGTACGAGTACTGAAAAATAAATTATGAAAGAGAGAAGGTTTTCAGTTGTTGTTCAATTTCAGCACGCTGTACTAAAAAAAAAAAAAAAAACACTTTTTTTTCTCCCGTTGCGTTCTCTTCCAGATTACATTTCGTTAGAGGTATATGCCGTGGTTTTGAGTTTTAAGCCTCTAAATATGCTAAAAAAAGAGCAAGTGCCGATGGTGGGTTTATGGGTTAAATTGACGATCATCGTGTGTGTACTCGTGTGTATCTGGCATGGGCGTACCAACCGGGGGGCAAGGGGCGCTTGCCCCCCCCCCCCCCCCCCCCCCCCAACCCGGTTCTCAGACGCTTCTGGTCAAGAGATCCAACGAGTCAAAAGATCCAACGAGCCAAAAGGTCCAATAATGGATCTTTTGACTCGTTGGATCTTTTGGCTCGCCAGACACGAGTCAAGAGATCCAATGTGGGTCAAGAGGTCCAACGAGTCAAGAGATCCAACGAGTCAAAGGGTCCACGGCAAGTCAAGAGGTCCAACGAGTCAAAATGTCCAACAAGTCAGAAGGTCCAATAATGGATCTTTTGACCCATTGGATCTTTCGACTCGCCAGACACATGCATGCGGGTCTATAGTCCAGATCGCATGCGGGTCAATGCTCGAGAACTGCCGCGTCATATGGCAAGGGGGTTACGGAAGGCCCCTCACCACTCCTGCCCTAGACGCGGGGAGGCATTGTACAATAAAATTCAGAAAACAATGTTGACTATACCCGTGTTCACCTCAAGAAACGTAGTAAAAAAAAACGTCGGGCTTCTCGCGGTACACTGCTGATTTCCGCATTCATGTAGAGAATTAAGATATAAGTAGGTGAATCGTAGATTAGACATCTTGTTAAAACGTACACGTTCCAAATGCCAAAAGCATCGCTTTTTCCTCCGACAACCAAATCTCGTAAGGACTACTTCGATCCGTGTTTGAACAATGCGCAAAGCTTGCTTTTTTCTTGGGGTGAAAATGGGTATAGGTGCCTTAATTTTTGTTACAAAAAAAAAAAAAAAAAAGAGACGCGCCGTTGAACTCCTCACCATGTCCCGGTTTGCGGACGGAAAACGGGCCCGAGCTAGGGGGGCAGAGCACAGCTTGTGATAGGGTGTGTTTTTGTTTGCGCACTAGTTCGTACAAGAAGGCCGACACAAAGTGCGTGTATATTTTTCAACGAAAACTGATTTGATCGATTTTGTCTGTTCGTTACAAAAAAGGCCCCACCACGAC